TCTCTTACACTAGCATAGCTGTTATCATCGGCACACAGTGTTATCTGTTAGTACTATAATGTCTCTAGCACACTGAGACAGGCTGTCATCATTTTGCTTGCTAGTATCAGGGCGGTTCTGAGTTCTAGAATTACCTTAGCGCAGTGGTTCTCTTACCTTGGCAGTCGCCGAATATTTTTTCTTATATAAATACGAACCCCACGTTTGGCCTCGCATAAAAAAAAATAAAATAAAATACAACAACAAAAACAACCCCATGTCTAGGTTTCTGGGGTCCTATTTTGGGGAAAAAGAATAAACCCACAAGCATGTCGGAAGAGTCGACTAATTAGTGGTGTTTCCTTCGAAGTTGGAGTGCATCTGCTTGCGATGAGAGGAAGTAACAGTCTGCTTTTAAATAAGCCAGATATGTAAAACGGGAGCACACGTAAAAAATTCTGCTGGAATAGGAGTAAAGTCTAGAACTTCTTCGATGAAGAAGAAGAACATAAACACGAAGTATTACAGTGACACGAAAACTTCAGAATGATCTACACATAGCACACATTCAGCATGAAGCGCCCATTGCCGACTGGCGTGAGCGATCACGCTCAGATTCCAGATTAAACATGTTTGTAAACGTGTTTGTGTGGACTGAATAGTTGTGTGTGTTAAATGTGTATCGTCTACAGAACGCTACCCAGCCTGGAGGAGGAGGAGGAGGAGGAGGGGGGGGGGGTGTGGATGTCTCTGTGGCGAAATGGTCAAACTTTTTGCCTCGCGCTTCGAAGGTCCCTGGTTCGTTTAATGGTTGCGTCGTTCAGTCTACGTGTGTAGTTTTTACGGAGATCCTTGGCGATCGTGGCCGAAGCTACGGAGTTTGTGGTCTGTGCAATGCTTTCGACAGGCGGCTAGCCGTTTTGCAGAGAAAGACCAAGTCATATGGGATAAAACTTGATGCTAAAGTCGATCGCCTCGACTTTAACCTTTGAGCCCCAGCCTTGGTTGGATAATTTTTTTTTCTAAGCAATTTTCCGTTTATTAGTTTGCTCTGAATTCCATACTTATGTCAAAATCAGCGCAGGGGGGTCTGCTGCCAAAGCGCCCACGACAGGAATAGAACCGGGTAAATCGGAATTACGAAGCGCATTCACAACGTATAAGGCACTGACGCTGACAGTTGTGAATACTTTGAGGTACAATGGAGTTAGGTACTATGGGAAAGTGCTCGAAGCCACAAATTCGTACTTTGTTGTGTAAAGTTCAGCAGAGGACCAGTGATAAAAAAATATGCCGACCTTTTTAGGATGCAATTTTTCGTTATTTGAAGCCCTATTCTGGCTCATGTCAGGGGCCGCACTAAATCCCGGCCATAAATATGGTCTAATGGCTGAACGTGGTTTCTGGGACCTCTCCACGGTGATCCTCACCCACATGGTGGCACATTGTGTCATCGGGTGTTTATCGCTTGTGTGATGCCCTGGTGGGGTAGAAAGTCAGTCAGTGAGTCAGAGGACTATTTTGCATGCATTCAGGGGTGTTAAACTTATAGGGCTAGACATACAGTTTTATTTCCAGTCGGCACTAGGTGTGTGATGTGTTTAGCATCAAGCCGCCCGCCTTTACTTCTCAAGACTTAAGCTCATAACCATATAAGGCTGGCTGGGTCGACATGGAACCAAAGCCATTTTTTGAAAAAATTCCGGCTCCGTCAGAATTGAATTCACGACCTTCCGATCTGTACGCGAGCGGCTACAGCTGTCTACTTTTTGTGTGTGTAACATTCCTCAAAATGGGAGTCGCCGTGGCGGAACGGTTGGACGCCCGCCGCGGACCGGAAGGTCAGTGGTTCGCTCCCTGGCGGAGCTGGACTTTTTTCAAAAATGACCTCGGCTCCCAGGTCGACCCAGCCTTGAGTAGGAACTTGGTGCAGTCCCGGGAAAGTAAAGGCGACCGGCGTGATGCTGACCACATCACCCATCCTGTGCCGATTGGTCTTTAAAAAATAGGTCTAACCCTATATGCCCTATACGTTTAAAGGCGTGGAAAAGAGTCCTTTATTTTTTTTTCCTCGAAAGGCTGGCATGTTTAACTATAGCCAAAACGTGTATAATGCGGGTAAGCCGTTAGGGACTGTCGCACGGGAAACAAGAGTCAATGTTTTGTCGTAATCAATGATAACACAAAACCAGGTTCTGAGATAACAGCACTTTTGAAGTACAAGGCGATAATGGCAGACCAACTGTTCACTTCATAGTCGTTATGAGGTAGTGACCGGGAAGCAATGACCGACTGTTACCTCGTGATTATTGTGTAGTATTTGGAAAGCTTTTGAACTGAACTGCTTCAGAAAAATTCTTAGAATACGACCGACTGTTACCTCGTGATTATTGTGTAGTGTTTGTGAAGCTTTTGAACTGAACTGCTTCAGAAAAATTCTTAGAATACCGTGGGCCAATATGCAGAAAAACGTCGACATCATTCGTGACCTGAACATCACAGAGAATTGGCCCGTAAACAGCATCCTCTCCCGAAAGCTTAGTATTTTGTTTTATGTCAAGCCCCATGGTGGTCTGGGGAGAACGGCAATGGAAGCTTCAGTTTCCGGAGAACGAGGTAGAAGTCGACCTCCGCGAATGTGCATAAGGAGATTGAAGATGTATTGGCTATGAAAGCACATAGGGCTGGAGAATTGGCTAGAGAAAGAGAGACTTTCAGACCTGCCGTGAAGAGAGGGACTTTCAGACCTGCCGTGAAAAGAGGGACTTTCAGCCCTGCCGTGAAGAGAGGGACTTTCAGACCTGCCGTGAAGAGAGGGACTTTCAAACCAGCCGTGAAGAGAGGGACTTTCAGACCTGCCGTGAAGAGAGGGACTTTCAGACCTGCCGTGAAGAGAGGGACTTTCAGACCTGCCGTGAAGAGAGGGACTTTCAAACCTGCCATGAAGAGAGGGACTTTCAAACCTGCCGTGAAGAGAGGGACTTTCAAACCTGCCGTGAAGTGACTTTCCAACCTGCCGTGAAGAGAGGGACTTTCAAACCTGCTGTGAAGAGAGGGAATTTCTGCTAACGACAAGCTGAATAATAAATTGACCGGACTGGAAAGTAACTGCAGAAAAACTTTTACCTACCTCATCACCATCATGTGGCAGGTGGAAGATAACGATAGACTAATTGTTCATTCCACTATAATTATAACAGAAATAACAATCATCATCTGCATCACCGGGTCCCCAATATATTGGCTGGCCGGTAGACGACTACGTCGCCGATCGGGACAGTATTTTGGTCTGTTTCCTTTAATCCCACCAACACTGCAAGAATCCCTTTCAGGGCTTATTGGTGGCGGCGAGCAATACTAAGCCATTTTATGTGGCGCACATAGCCTGGTCACAATTATAACCTAAAGCTCCCTCTTTGGGGATGCTCGTTGAACGTGACGATTTTGTTTTCGCAAAGCAAGCCAAACAATCATCACCCGTATTAACTGAGAGATAACTGATTGTTACATTATCATCATCATCATCATCATCATCATCCCAGTGAGTTAACATTGAGATAAGAACAGATTAATTGTTACTTCATCATCATTATCATCCTCCTCATCATCATCATGACAGTGAAGTAATAATAAGATAAGGACAGACTAAATTTTTCATCATCATCGTCATCAACACCGCAGTGAAGTAATAATCAAATAAGGACAAATTAACTTTTACCTCATCATCACCATTACTATCGTCGCCAGTAAATAACAATGACATAAGGACAAACTGTTAACTTGTCATCATCATCTTCAACACGAAGTAACTTTGAGATAAAGGCAGACTAACTATTACCTCATCATTATCATCAACATAACGTAACTCTGGGATACAGACAGACTAACTGTTACCTCATCATTATCATCAACATAACGTAACTCTGGGATACAGACAGACTAACTGTTACCTCATCATTATCATCAACATAACGTAACTCTGAGATACAGACAGACTAACTGTTACCTCATCATTATCATCAACATAACGTAACTCTGAGATACAGACAGTTTAACTGTTACCTGATCATTATCCTGTTGTAACTAAGGGTTCACCCTTTCAAAATCATCAAATAGTGACAGGAAGACAAAGGCAGACTAACTGTTAACTCATTCTCAGCATTATCATCATGACGTTACTATAAGAGTGGTAGCGGGTTTTTCTTCTTCAAAATTGATCTTGACCGTTAAGTCGATCCAGTTTAAAATGGGTACCAGGTCATATCCTGGGAAGTAAAAGCGGCCGGTGTGTTCTGAAGCATCAGCCATCAAGTGAAGACTGGCCTGTAACAGGTTTTCAGGTTTTGAACAACGAATCAATATCATGGCACACGGGCAGTAACCTATAAGTGCTGCCCGTTCTTCTTCTAACTGAAGTCTAAATTCGACAAATCTAAGCACAGTGTAGCTCTGTAGCACCCGCGAGGATCCTGAAATACTTTAGGTAGATTTGTAACTCCACATTTTGCCCGGGCAGCACCGTTAGACTTCTCTTTTCGATTTCCAATTGTAACGGAATGTTTTTACGTGCACACGGGCGTCCGATCTCACTACCCAGAGACCAGGGTAAATCACTAGAAGTCCAAGTCCACGTGATAAAATTCCAGCCCATACCCGGGATTGAACCCGGGACCTCTAGCACTCGAGGCGGACACCATGCCTCGAGATTACTCAGACCCCCCCCCCCCCCCCGATAGGCCTAGCAGAGCCTGCTCGATGCCCCGAAGGCCTGATCAAGAGTCCTTGACCTAAAACTTAGTTGCAACATTCTCTTATTGTTTGTGTGTATTTTCCTTTTGCAGAGCATCTCATTTCCTTTTTGTACGCTAGTTGATTCATTAAGTGAACATATTTTCCTTGGATATTGGCAATTGTTTTCAAATGCTTGTATTTGAGTTCTTTCCTCTAGTTTAATTGCGGTTTGTTATCTTATTTCTTAAAAAGCCATTTATAACTCGTTTTGGAAGTAAAAAAATAGGCCATCAATGTTTTGTCACTTGTGCGATACTAACTGGCAAAGAAACACTCGCATTGCTTTTTGGATGATAGTTATTCTCATCTAGAATTATCGTCCATAGGATTACCACCTCATCACCATTACCATTATCATCATCACCATCGGCCCATAGTACAGCGTGTCGTTGGGTCACCAATTGCTGTTGACTATCTGATAACCTCCCTATACCCTTGACAATCAGACAGTCCCTTAAACAGGGTTGCCAGATAAAAAACTTCATTTTATGCCAAACCATTACCCAAAATATGCCAGAAAATGCCAGATAAAGTGTAACATTGTACTCGCTTCACATCAAAAGCTCTAGATTGAATTCTTCACTGTCATCCTCACTGGAACAAGTGGAAGACACGATGTAAACCTTTCCGGATGTAAAATCTTTAAGCATTTTCTCAGATGCGATGAAGTCTTTGCAGCTCATCTATAATGATGGAATATTTCTTGTTCCTAAAATCACCCACAAGGTCACCCTTGAGTGCAGGCGATAACATATTTTTTATTAGGCATGAACATTTAGTTTTATGCTGTATGTGCTCCAATGTACTCCCCCGACCATGCGCTCTTATGATTTCACTAAGATGATCAATTGTGCGTATTGCACAATGGCAGGTCATGCCTACAGAAAGTTACAACTCTGCTGCCTTTAACTTTATCATTACTTTGCCTAGGAGTCATTGTTGTAATAAGCTGTGACTGGCTTTTGGACGGAGTTTTCATCCGGTGTTCTTCGGATTTTTCATGATTTGATATGCTACTAATTCTTGGTGCAACAGTATACTGACACAGTTTACAATAGGTTGCCTCTGATCCGTCTGAAGATCTTTTGAGCCGTGGGTTTTCTTCCAGTTACTATAATACTTGCGATGTCTTAAGATGCTTTCCATTTTGGGGGATGACGTGGCCATTGGTAAAAGTAATACAATCTATCACAGATAGAACTAGGTCTATATCCTCTCTATTTTCTGTCCTCAAGTAGTTTCTGAACAGTCTGAATCACTTGATATCAGTAGTGGGTTTTGGTTTTATATCCCGAATTTATTCTTGTAGATTAACTTAAATTACAGAGGACCTGGGTTTATCGAAGTCACGATCCATTTAGAAAGGCAATAAATACAATAAGAAATGGCGCGAATCTCTTTTAGTCCGTACCAGGACATCACAACAAAGTCAAACTGAAATAAAGATGTTTATTGTAGATTTTAATTGCTTTTAGGAAACCTGCGTGTTTCTAACGGAGGAACCATGAATGTGAGCACATCTTGATAAGAAAAGCCAGAAAAAAACACAAATATGCCAAAATATGCCAGTTCATTATCTTATGCCAGTTCAATTTCAAATATGCTAAATTTGTGGAATCTGGCACAAAAAATGCCAATATGGCAACCCTGTCCTTAAAGGCGTCCCCCGCCTGGTAGACAAATTATAAAGAACTGAGACTCTCTTTGCTCTTTTAGAACAGTAAAACAGAAGGTGAACATGTCGGTAATACAGTGTTATGCACCAACAAATGATAAAGATGCATCTGTTAAGGAAGAATTTTAAATGCAGCTTCAAAATATTATAAATAATGAAAGAAAGAGCAACTTAAAAATTTTGATGAGTGACTTGAATGCTAAGATAGGGTCAGACAACACAGGTTATGAAGAAATTATGGGGAGACATGGTCTAGGAGTAATGAATGAAAATGGAGAATCGTTCACAAATTTTTGTGCAGGTAACCAGTATGTTATTGGTGGAAGTATTTTTCCCCCATAAAAGAATACACAAGGCAACATGGGAATCACCAGACCATAAGACAACTAATCAAATTGACCACATATGTATTAACAAAAAGTTTAGATCATCCCTTTACGATGTTAGGGCTTTCAGAGGTGCCGATGTATTTACTGACCATTTCCTGGTGATAAGTAAAATCAAGTTGAAACTAAAAAGATACATAACATCTTATAATCATAGAAACCAATATAATGTAGGCTTTCTCAGAGATAAAAAAATTAAGGAACAGTTCTCAGTTACTGTCTCTAATAAGTACCAGGTGTTGCAGCAGTTAGCTGAAGATGTCAACACAGAAGTCTGCTGGGATCAGATCAAAGGAATCTGGAATGAATCTTGCGTAGAAGTTCTTGGCAAGAAAGAAAGAAAACATAAAGCATGAATAACACCAGAAACCATTTAACTGATTGCAGATAGGAAAAGTAAAAAGGCAGAATTAAACAATAGCAAAACTAGAGCTGCTAAAGCTAGAGCTCAGGAGAATTACACAGAAGCCAACAAGGAAGTTAGGAGGCACATAAGGGCAGATAAAGTGAAATATCTAAATGATCTAGCACAAGAAGCGGAGACAGCAGCAGCAAAAGGAAACCTCAGAGAACTTTACAGTAACACCAGAAAATTAGTAGGTAAATATAGTCAGCTAACTGGATCAATAAAAAAATAGTCAAGGAAAGGTACTTACTAACACTAAAGATCAAATGAACAGATGGGTTGAATATTTTAAAATGCTTCTAAATAGACCAGGCCCAGAGATTCCCCCAGATATCCAGCCTTTAGAAATGGAACTGGATATCAACTGTGAGATACCATCCAAAGAGGAAATTAGAAAAGCTATAAATCTTCTTAAGGAAGGAAAGGCGTCAGGCCCAGATGGTATCCCAGCTAAAGCCATCAGGACCAACATAAACACATCAACAGAATTGCTACATAGATTATTCAGTAAAGTCTGGGAGACCGAAGAAATACCAGCAGACTGGAGAGAATGATATCTTGTGAAACTGCCCAAAAAAGGTGATCTACAGGAGTGTGAAAACTATAGAGGAATAAGTAGAATTATTTTGGAAAGATTAAAAGATGCTATTGATAAAATACTAAGAGATGAGCAGGCAGGTTTTCGGTCAAACAGATCCTGTACTGATCAGATAGCCACATTACGTATTATAATAGAGCAAAGCATTGAACTGAACTCACCACTTTACATTGGATTTATAAACTATGACAAAGCATTTGACAGCATTGATAGGGAATCTCTCTGGAAATTGATGGGGCACTATGGAATCCCACAGAAAATTATCAACTTAGTAAAGGCAACATATAAAGACATGAAATGTCGAGTTCTTCATGAGGGAAAGCTAACAGATGCATTTGAAATAAAAACAGGTGTGCGACAGGGATGTCTTTTGTCGCCTCTCTTATTTTTACTGGCTTTAGACTGGACTATGAAAACAGTAACTGCTAACACCAAGAATGGAATTCAGTGGACCCCTACAAAACAGCTTGATGATCTGGACTTCGCTGATGATATTGCTCTTCTGTCCCATCCACGGAATCAGATACAAGATAAATTAAATATACTTAATGCGAGATCACAGCAGCTTGGTCTGAAAATCCATAAAGTAAAGACAAGGATAATGAGTATAAATCAGGCAAATAGTAATGTGGTTTCTCTTAATGGCACCCCACTCCAAGACGTGGAGTCGTACACCTATTTAGGCAGTAATGTAGATAAAGATGGAGGAACTGATAGAGATATTAAAATAAGAATACAAAAGGCAAGAGGGACTTTCATAGCACTAGGGAATTTGTGGAGGTCAAAAGAAATTAAAAGAAATACTAAACTAAAAATTTTTCTAATGTCAAATCAGTACTATTGTATGGGGCGGAAACATGGAGAACAACCAAGGCAATTACTAATAAATTACAGACATTCATTAACTGGTGCCTGCGCAGAATAGAGGGAATAAAATGGTATGATAGAATAACTAATGTAGAACTTTGGGAGAGAACTAAACAGGCTCCAGTGGATCAGGAGGTGAGGAAAAGACGCTGGCGTTGGATAGGGCACACACTGAGAAAACAGGAGAACAGCATAACTAGAATGTCTTTGCATTGGAACCCACAGGGGCATAGGAATAAAGGAAGGCCAAAAAAACACATGGAGAAGAGAGCTGGAGAATGAGGTTAGAAAGATTGGGAGGACATGGGGAGAGCTCCATGCAATGGCGAAGGATAGAACGACTTGGCTTGAGTTGGTTGAGGGCCTATGCTCCATTGGGGGATAGAAAGGCAGAAGAGAGAGAGAGAGAGAGAGAGAGAGAGAGAGAGAGAGAGAGAGAGAGAGAGAGAGAGAGAGAGAGAGAGAGAGAGGCTCTCTTTCTTTGCGGCGCTAGTGCTCTCGAATGTGCCCGTGTCGGTACTGTTATGACCATACGGCAGACGTAGTTTCAACACTGATGGAAATCAAGTGACACAATAAAAAATAACTCTTTTCAATGTGTCTTAGAGCCGGGTGCTTGCTACAGCAATGACGTACGACAACACCGCACTTACCATCTCTTATTTCAAAGGAGGTACGACTCATCTGTCTTGCAGCTGTATAACTGTCTAGATATTCAGGAAGTATTTGGATGAAATGAAATTTAATTCCGATGGAGCACGAGGCTAAGCTTATAAGAGGGCACAAATTACATGAAGTACAAAAAGGTGTCGCTGTAATGTACGCCGTTGAGATCTCAACAAAAGAGAATCCAATAGAAGATACGCTGTTAACACTGTAATATCAGCTGACATATATGTACGAAAAATACAAGTATGGATTAGCTAACAGCGGGTTGCAAATAGGCCTTGTAGATGTGATGCATCAAGCTTTTTTTTTCTTTTTCAAAAGGCCCCATCGGTTAGTTCTACGTTAGTCTCCCCAAAAAGAGTAGGTCACTTTTCATTCACGTTTGTTGGGCTGGTCGACTTTCCTGAAGGTTACTGGTGTGTCCCGCTCTGTTGTTGGGTTTCTCCAATGTCTTGCATTTACGTTTTCATTCCGAGAAAGAGAATGCCTGTGACATAAGTTGTAGCACTCTCAAGGTGGGGTGTTGGTTAGACCCAGTTTCGACATGTTTTTTGGAGTGTTGAAAGCGCCGGCGTGCTGAAATATACAACACGCGATACCAACGGCATTGCGGAACACCTCCGTAACCTTGTGCGAAAGTCACCCGGCTCGGAAACTACCAATCAGAAGTGAGCTAGTGTGTATATGGGCGGGGTCTGGGGAGACTAACGACGAACTAACCGGCCCCATCATTGGGACTTTTTCTTATCAATACGCAGTAAAGATTCTATTTTTAGGCATTATGTTGTTTTCAGTACTACGATAATAAAGACTTTGTGGTAAATACCGACACCTTTTTAAAATGACTTTCCAACAATGAACCAAAGGATCAGGATGTGGAGGGCTCGGGCATATCTCAAAATATGTGCTGATAAGAAACACCCACTGCATCAAGCGCTTTTTAGTGAAAAGGGCGACAGACTGAAGAGGGGGAAATCGTGGCTAGGTCGGGCAGAAGATGTTATTAGGCAAATATGCAGCCTAACCGACATCATACCTGGTGCAGAATGGATACCTGTGCCTCAGGCGTTCATTTGTACATTTTCCTGTATTGTCACACTCAACAGGCGATGTAGAGAAGAGAATCCTGTTGCTGTTAATGCAGAGGTCAACTCTCTCATCGGTGAAAATTCAGATGAAGCAGATGCAATGATCTATACAGACGGATCCGTTATACGCCAAAAAAGAAGCGCATTGGCATTTACAGCACGCTCAGCGGGCAGAACAGTCAAAGAAGCCAACGGCGCCTTCTCCATGACAACCAGCAGCATGACGATGGAGGTGATGGCAGTGACGCAAGCGCTTGCCTGGCTTGAAACACAAAAATACACCCGCGTATGTATACTCAGTGATTCAATGAGTATGATCCGGAGGGTTGAAGCAGGTTCAGTGCGAAGACAATGGCTTGAATCATTACAGAAGTCCACTGTGCGTGGAGTCACCTTTATTTTTGTTCCGGGACACGCAGGCGTCGATGGAAATGAAAGAGCTGACAGGTTGGCTGGATCCGCTATCACTACCGACGGTCAGCCTATGGATCATGCTGATATTATCAATGCCCTCCGAGAAATGGGAAGGATAGAGGACTTTGGTAGCAGTGAATCCACATCACTCTCCAGAATGGCAGACTTGGGAATTAAGATCGGCACAGCAAAAAACGAGACGCACACCAGACACGCCAGAAGACTTGTTAATCAACATAGAACTGGTACTATTAGCCGTCGGACGTTGGGGTTCATACTGAGGGGAGGATCTGAGCACCTATGGACATGTCCGGAGTGCAATGAGGATAACCCAACTAACTAACTAACTAACTAACTAACTAACTAACTAACTAACTAACTAACTAACTAACTAACTAACTAACTAACTAACTAACTAACTAACTAACTAACTAACTAACTAACTAACTAACTAACTAACTAACTAACTTACTAACTAACCTTTTTAGAATTGTGTGGTGAGTATCGGCGAAATTTGTTTCTAGAGAAACAAAAAGTTATGATCGATACCATATTTCACGTACTTCCTGTGCGAGTTTCGCGGCCCCATGGCGGGGAAAACTAGAATAGCCCCATTGCCTCCCCAACAACCATGTCGTAAGAATCGACTGACGGGGGACTTGCCTTTCGAAGTCGGAGTGCATCTGCTGGAGCGGCAAGGAACAACCAACTGCACACGCATGAGCCAGTGAAACGGATGTACACGCAAAACTCAGGCCCTGGCACAAAGCCAAAGTTCAAATGGACGAACAACCAGGACTTTCCACAAGGAGCTTACCGCCGGTGAAAGAAGAAGAATAAAATATTGCAAGTACTGGCAGAACATCGTTTTCATCACGGATATACTCTAAATCCTTTGTTAGCTCTATTGTTTCGTGCATTTTAATGCTAGGGTGTGCTGTGTACACTGTTGCGTAGGACCACCTCGATCTGGACCTACGGTTCTCCAACTTTTTTCGCTGGGGCACCCTTGACGGAGAAACAAATAATTCTGCGGCACACTTACCCTTAAAGCGGTTTGAATATTTAGAAAAAAAAAAAAAAAAAAGGGAAAAAAAAAAACTGCACATTTAATGTTTATTTGTCTTTAATGCGATGAATGAAACTGTTTCGATGAAGTTTTCATCATTTCGTTTATGTATTTAAGAAGTTTAATTTTACCTTCAGATCACTTGACCCAGGAAGTTTGCTCCTGTACCTATATATTATGCAAGCGTACGTTGAGAATGCACTGTAACCTTATCAACAGTATTGCCTTCTGAATACACCTGCATACAAAACTCTTCTCGGTTTTCTTCACGGTATTACTGTTTTAAACTGCTGTCTTTGCTGATATCGAGCAGATTTTGAAAATTCTTGGTTATTGCCGTGGTGCCCCTGGTATACATGTGCGGCACCCAGTTTTAGAACCGTTGATGTACACTTAGGACAGTTTCAAGGGGCGTCAAGCAATTTTGAAATTAAGTGCATTTATACTTGTCACAATCTGTAATACTGATGTATTTTTTCCAGTTTAAGTATAAATACAATATTTAAGGAAAAAATATTTGTAAAATAAAAAGCCAAACTAGTTATGTTATTTAATACATTGATTTATGTGGATGTTTTTCTCCTAGTGTTAGTAGCTCTTGGAAAGTTTCTTTGTTCTCCTCTTCTTTTTTAATCACATTTTATTTTTGAAGAGGGGGTGGGGGGGGGGGGTGTCTTACCATATATTCAAGGGGGTGTCACCCGGGAAAGGTTTAAAGAAACACACTGATCTGAAGCCATCACTGTGCAACAGATGTAGTGTTTGATGTGAGTGAAGTACTAGGTCTGTTTATAAAGTATCCATGGTATTAGCTTAGGAAAATCACTCATATGGAGGTTTGAAACTTGGAATTATTTCTCTTGGAACTTCGCACACAGCAATAATTCACATAGCAATAATTCAAATAGCAATAATTCAAATAGCAATAATTCACATATCAATATTTCACACATCACTAATTCACATAACAATAATTCACATAGCATTGACTGTTGGAGGCATTTCAGGATCGACTCTGTGGTAACGGGGTAGAACGTGGTCGTAGTGTTCCGGAAAATGTCCTATGATGTATTTCCGCTCAGCAGCATATACAGCATAGAAAATGACAGGAAACCGTGACGAGAGAATGTGGAGAAGAACTAGAAGATTGTCATGTTTAGTACAGATATTGCTGCCTTGCTGTAAACCACAACCCAACATGTCAGTCACCCTTCTAAGGACGAATGCTGGGAATAAATGAATAAGAAACACAATGCAAAATTATTGTAAATAAACAATGTTGCTTATTATTCCTTGTTTCAGTTTCCTTAATCCTTCACCGCTTTCTTGGCCGCCGTCTGCCGTTTCGTTTAGGAGTTATGAATGCAGCTTCATTCCTGCATACCGATTTTGAACCAGTAACAGAGCGTTTGACAGCAGTTTTATTTGTGTTGATTTCGACAACGGTATGGTTGTGGAACCGTTCAGTGGCAAAGATGAACTACTGAGAGTAAAAGTGTCTAGTAAAACCTCAAATGTATCCGATACCATAAATACCTACAGCTACGTAGCACATGCCAAGACTGGCACTCCATCGATGCCTCTTTAAAACCTTACGCCGAAAGGCAGAACAGGATAAGAGAAGAAGAAGTAGAAGAAGAATACCATAAACAGATCTCACAAATCCTGTGATTGATGTGCAACGTTCTGTAAATCGGATTTCTTTCTTCATTTTTACACCTGAGGGCGGGACAAAACATCAGGGGAGATATTTCGCGGATTGATTAACGGCTAAAGCAAATTTAAAAAAAAAATTAAAAATTCAAAATTCAATCTTAGGAATTGCGGGACAGGCAATAGTGGCTTTTGGCAGCAGTAAACGTGGCCTATACCTCCAGCGCTACACTGTCGCGTACATGCATGCAGACTGTTAGTTCCTCGCCTCTGAGGCATATGTACTCCCACTTTGAAGTATGCACCCTCCCTTGAAGTCGGGAGAACATATGCCGGCGAGGCCGGGAACGGCAAACAAATAAGCCAGTAAAACGGATGTAAACACAAAACTCAGGTCCAGGTAAAAGCCACAAGTCCAAATGGACTAACTACCGCGACCTTCCGCCGGAATTCACAGCCAGTAAACGAAGAAAAAGAAGAAGTATGCACCTCTAATTAGTCCAATTTGACGACATGCTTCTTACGGGCGCAGTAAAGGTGAAGTCTAATCCCACCTACAATACGGCCCTGGAACTCACACGGGGGAGCGCTTTTTACACCCCGTGTTACATTTACCTCCTCTTTCGCCTAATGTATTGTGTCTTTCAATAGATGTCGAATGCTAATCTTTCATAGTCTTCCGTTGGCTCAGGCTGTCAGGTCTGGGTCAAAATGGCCAATGTTATAGATAATTCTGACGTATGAGAGATGCTCAAAACTCTGGCCACAAATTGACAGATTGCTTACGAGATTTGGGCCGAATACACCAGCCTCTCTACCTTTTGTTTTGTCTAGAGAAGGGCGAGGAAGCTAAATACAGGTTAATTCAGCGGTTCCTAAATTAGGTTTTCTCCCAACAACACTTTAATCCAGAAAATTTCAGTGAATCGAAAGGCGAGGAAAAGACGCCGGTATAAAAATCTACAGACATAAAGAAGAAAATGATAGATAGACATACGACAGACAGAACGAACGAACGAACGAACAAACTTTATTTTCAAAGGGTTACAAATTGGGCGCTCAGGCCCGTCTGACATTCGGCCCTTCACAGACAGACAGACAGACAGAGTTAGAGAGAGATTAGATAGGTAGGCAGATAGATAGATAGATAGATAGATAGATAGATAGATAGATAGATAGATAGATAGATAGATAGATAGATGGATGGATGGATGGATGGATGGATGGATGGATGGATGGATGGATGGATGGATGGATGGATGGATGGATGGATGGATGGATGGATGGATGGATGGATGGATGGATGGATGGATGGATGGATGGAGGGAGGGAGGGAGGGAGGGAGGGAGGGAGGGAGGGAGGGAGGGAGGGAGGGAGGGAGGGAGGGAGGGAGGGAGGGAGGGAGGGAGGGAGGGAGAGAGAGAGAGAGAGAGAGAGAGAGAGAGAGAGAGAGAGAGAGAGAGAGAGAGAGAGAGAGAGAGAGATAGATAGATAGATAGATAGATAGATAGATAGATAGATAGATAGATAGATAGATAGATAGATAGATAGATAGATAGATAGATAGATAGATAGATAGATAGATAGATAGATAGATAGATGGAGAGAGGGGGAGAGAAGGAGAGAGGGAGAGATAGATAGATAGATAGATAGATAGATAGATAGATAGATAGATAGATAGATAGATAGATAGATAGATAGATAGATAGATAGATAGATAGATAGATAGATAGATAGATAGATAGATAGATAGATAGATAGATAGATAGATAGATAGATAGATAGATAGATAGATAGATAGATAGATAGATAGATAGATAGATAGATAGATAAGATTAGATTAGATTAGATTAGATAGATTCGCTCGCATCGACTTAGCCACAGAGGACTCAGAGCTGGCTACTTTAAATAAAAGTTTGCATCTAAAGACGTCAAAATGGTAACGCCATTTCAAAACAAGTTTAATTAACAACTGAGACAGAGTGGTTTTATATGCAAATGCGAGGGAACAAGGTGGTAAGAAACGTAAACAATGGTAATATACATCAACAAACGCATGATGAGTTGCTCGGTACTGGAAGAGTTAAACACTGTATTCCTCATTATGTAAACACAAATAATTCTTTCTTCTTGCGATTATAAATTTCGTGCTCAGACTTACAGACTGATATACCAACCAATTAATCACAAGACGAGGTGCACGTTTTCAGATATATTGAGTTGTGCCTTATGAAGTTAATTGCGTGTGCAACTACAGATCTATTATAACTGCTGCTTCGATTTACTGCATTTCTAGTGTCGGAGTAGATAACTTCGACAATATACAGGCACACAGAGTTGCCCATTTTGAGAATCGTTGAGATAGACACAGTACAGGCGCCTAGAGGTAGCTGCCTAGGTTCTGCACAGGCGATAACGTCAAGTGTGACATGGTGGGCATGGCGTGTGAGAGACAGCCAGGGACTTGGGGTTTGATACTTGGGGGAGTAGCTTACCTGTGTGAATTATTGTTTTGGGGGGGGGGGGGTAGTAGGTCACTAGGAGCTACCTGCCTGCCTCCCTCTCTGCCTGGCTGTCTTTCTGTCTAAGTAAAGTAAAGTACCCTTTTCCACGCCTTTATGCGTATTAGGGCATATAGGGCTAGACCTATATTTTATAGATCAATCGGCACAAGATGGGTGATGTGGTCAGCATCACACCGGCCGGCTTTACTTCACAGGACTGTACCCAGTACCCACTCAGGGCTGGGTCGACCTGGGTAATTTTTAACAAAAGTCCGGCTCCGCCAGGGAGCGAACCCACGACCCTCCGATTCGTGGCGAGCGCCTAGCCGCTCTGCCACGCCGACTCCCGTTTACCTACCTGTCTGTCCTCAACCATTTTTCAACAGTTACTATGGTGCGTTTCAAAACTCGTCTTCTCTACTTGAACAAATATCTCAAAAATTCATGTACGGGTAAACACGGATTTTTGCATCTGCCCTTTGATTTCCGATGTCTTTGGTATTTTATAATTTAGAATTGCACAGGTGCTGCTGTTTTTTAAAGCGGCGAATTTCTTTGATCTTTGTTTGACCTATAATTTATGTTTAAATGTTAGTTGTGTATCCTTTACAGGACATTGCAGAACCAATCCCAGTATTTTGTGGCTGTTGTGGTTTTTCTAGGTAAATTTACGTCCAGTAGGTTGGCAATGTGTCCTGGAC